ACTTTGGCTTCTTGGATGATTTGCTCATGAGCAAAGGGAAAAAGGGAACAAGTAATCCTTTGTAGATATTTGGTCAAGACCAAACCCCATCTATAAGTCTTGCTTCCAAAAAGAGGTTGAGGAAAGAGATGGCAAAGCTGACTGGAGACTGGAAGTAGTTGGGCTGACGTGGAGGGCAGGAAATGTGTAGAATGTGTTCCAGAGCAACCCCACTCACCCTGAGAACTGGTCATCCCCTATTTATTCTGCATCCTCTCCCCACTGAGGGATTTGGCCAGCTCTGTTTTATTTTGCAGTCCTTGGTATCTTTAGTAATGTTCTCAGGTTGCTTTGTCCAGGGCCTGGCTATCTCCTCATATAGCTTAGAGGAGCAGAGGCAGGGCCTTCTGGGCTTTACTGAGCCTGGGAGGCGCCTATCATTGCCTATAATCTTAGCTCAGGGTGCTCCTCATATTCTTTGAGAAAGAAACAACTCAAGTCTCTCACAAGGTTCCTTAGATAAGGAGACACTACAAGAGTTTGAATAGGCAAGAGTAGCCAAGCACTCTGACTTCTGAGAAACAAGTTGGGGGCCTTCTGGAACCTGTAGTTTGTGGGTCACCTGTCTGCTGCTGCAAAATGGACAGGACTCAACTTCTCCTGGCTTCGACTCTGATCCAAATCTTTTCTCTGCCTCAGAGTTTCTCATTCATTTTCACATTTCTTCATTAATTTATTCATTTGTGTATTCAGGGCTGCAGTGGATGGTTGGGCACGTTGTTCTCTGAACAAGAATATGCAGCCGTGTGGGCCCTGTTGTAGGTCTATATCTACCTGGGGTGTTAGGGGGTGGGTACCTTTTGCTAATAGAGCAAAGGCACTGCATGGGCTAGGTGTTTATTCAATAATGAAAGTGAACACCCATTTTGCACAAGGGCTCCTATATCGGAAAACAGATACTGGAGGGGTAAGGATCTGTCCTTGGAACAGGAAATGGATATTAAGTGGGAGTAGAGACGGAGGGAAGAAAACATAATGATGTGGAGAGGAGGAGGAGGAGGAAGAGGGAGGATGCAGTTCTAAACAGGCAGTAAAAGTTCCTTTGGAGAGGGAGAGGACCCCACAGGGCCTGGCAAGATATAGTCCTGCCTATTTCTCCAGCCACATCCTTCCCCCAGCGTGCTTGAGTGCTTTTTTCACCCCACACTCACCCCGATTTACCCTACTCTCCTTAGGATTCAGCTCAAACATCATGTCACACAGAAGTCTTCCCTGACCTCCCAGGCTAGGTCATGTCCCCTGCTATACTTTCCCATAACCCGCATCTCTCATGCTTCTCTCTCTTACCATTTTCGATAATTGAAATAATTTGGAAGATCATTTAATATTATGAGGCATAATGAAGGCAGGGAGCATGGCTATCTGGTTTCTGTCTTGTTCCCAATTACACCGTGAAGAGCACAGTGCCAGGCATGGAGTTGGCACTTGAATAATTTCACTTGAATGAAAGAACAAGTTGATTCAGGCCTGTCATAAAGCATTAATGTCTTCTTTCTGGTTTGTCCTTGGAGCAAAGATAAACTCCCCTCACCATTCAATCAACATTGGATCTCATTTGATCACTACGATCCTGGGATTGTAGACAAGCGAGTGTATTTGATTACTACCCTTTTCCAGGCAAGGAGAGTGAGACGGGGATGAAATGGTCCTCCAAGATCACATAGTCAGTCAACACATGGTAGAGCCAGGATTCACATCTATGTCTGTCTGACTCTGGAACCTACGTTCTCAACCATTTCTAATTCTGCCTTCCCCTGGGTTGTTCTCAACTCTGCCCAGGCAGAAGTGTGACTTTTCCGAAAATGGCTTTGGATTTGGTCCTCTGCCTCCTCTTGATATCCCCTCCCCACTCATTATTATCAATCGCTTTTTTGCTGAGCTCCTGCCTTGGTCCCAGGCCCAGGGCAGGGTTCCCACACTGCCTCATGGATCATCCACCCTCTGAGATGTTCCTTGAAAAAGGGGTTCCCTGGTCAA